CCAAGAAGGACCCTTGGGTCTTCTACTAAATAAGGGGGAGGTATGTCAGTCCCCGGAACCCAGTAGGTTAGATGCTGTCCTGTCACCTTACATGAGGAATGGCTGTGATAAAATAATAACCAGGGACAGTAGGTGACCCAGTTTGAACAAAGGGGATGAGGATCGATGCTCCGCAGCTGCCTTCTGCTTTGTGGGTCCTTTTACTACAACATTATATATTATATGCAAATCGCGGCACAAACTTAGGGCCGCTTTTCATGTCAAGAGGCTTCTTTGAGCCTATATGTTATATTTTACAGATCTTGGACAGTAACATTTTTCTTTTTAGCACGAAGTTGCTCAAGGTTCATCTGAGACTCTTTTAAATTGCTGCTTTCAGAGAAATAACAATGTAAAATGACACAATGATGTATGGCCCCGTCCAGCAGACCAGTGTTGCAGCAGCCGCAAACGCCACCAAACCTCTGGGAATGAAGCAGTCTCCGGAGCGCCATTGTGCAATTGTCCTAACCGGATCATTTTTAATTAGTTGCAATTAATTTCAAGTGACAGCATCCTGCAATATCAAGTCAGAGAAGCTCCGGTGCGTGGGTGGGGTTGTTAGGAACAGACGGCTGCTGAGAGAGAAACAGAGAGGGAGATCTCATCACAGGTTACAAGATTTTCTGGGTGGTGGGTAGAGGTACAATTTCCTGAGCTGGGGGAGGAAACTTCTTCCTAAAGATGCAAATGTTCTGATTCTTTCTGGGCTGTGCGTAGGCCTTGCTAGGTGGATACGTAGCCAGGTAGATACATATAGGACCTTTCTGGTGGGCAAGTGTGTTGTGCTTCATATTGCAAAGTGGTGCAGCCAGCTAACTCTGCCTTAGTTTGGCAGAAGCAGATTCTGAGATAAGGATTTGGGAGGTGACCCCAGGAGTGAAGAAGTGAATCAGGAAAGGAGAGGAGCCAGAAAGAGGTACATTATTAAGCAAGCTAGCAGTAAAGGGACCTGGACCTCTCTCCCATTGGGAAACTTTGGGAGACATTGTAGAACATACAGCTCAGAGTTATCTCATCCATGGGATGAAGGAGCTAGGATATTTACACAACAATCCTGTTGGTCACTGGTCAAGGACTGCTTCCAACCTGCCTTGTAAAGGCACACCAGTGGCTAGAGAAAGCTCAGGCAAAGAACTGCAGATGCTGGTGGCTGGAATCAGGCTCAGAGCACAGACATGGTAAGGGCAAAGGCCTTGGGGCACTGTGTGTGTACAACCTCCAGGACCTCGTACAGTTCAAACATCCTGCAATTTCCCCAGTACCCCTTGGATGTCCCTCTGAGGCACTTACATGTGGGGACACAGAGGCAGAGAGGTTAAGTGGGGTGAAGCTCCCATGGCCCCCAGGCCTGGTGGAGGAGAGCTGAGAAGTCATGTTGCCTGCCTTTTGGTAGCAAGCAATCACCATCCTGCCTTACCATTGCTCGGGATGTGGATGCCACATCTAGGAACACAGGCTACCTCTGGCCAGGCTATTATGGGCAGACAGGGTTTTTTACTCTCCAGCCAGTGCTGACACTTCTGTATCCTGTGTTCTTAGCCTGCATCACTAACTGTTTGATCTTGGCACCCTTTCCCGGACATCCAGATGTGGATTCAGAATCCCCAATAGGATATAGCCCACAGCTGTTCTCAAGCAATGGTATATACAAAAGAGCTCAAACCAATGTGCTCCCATGGCCTACAGGGAGCATCCCTCCTAAGCACAATGTTCTCTAATCAAAATGTTTTGGGAGGCACAGATTACCCATGTAGATAACTTTATAGTGACACAGTCACTCCTTGTCCCCTACCTAGCTGAATCTTTGCAGCCAAAGGGGTAATCTCTACTTCAAATAGACTTGCTACTCTAAACAGTGGATTTAGAACCAGGACCAGGGCACTTGACCTCCTCACTGGGGCTCCTCCAGAAAAGTAAGAGGCACATATGCCTGTCCTGACTCCACTCTTATGTTCCCAAAGCCACCCTTCATTGGTTAATCAGCAGGAAGGGAGTGGGAACTAATGCAACTTGGCCCTTTTCTTGAGAGTAACAACAACCTAAGCAGACACTTATTGAGCACTCACCATAGGCCATGCACTATTCTAAGCATCTACCATATTAACTCATTTCATTTTCATAAGCCAGCAAAGTAATATTACCCCATGCCAGAGGGGAGAAAACTGAAGCACAGAGAGGTTAAGGAACTTGCTTAAGGTCACCCAGCTATGTAGTGGTGGGGCTAGGACATGAACTCAAGCAGTGTCTGGAACCCAGTGACGAAGGCTATCCGCTACGTTTCTCCTGCGTTTTCTTTCATAACTCTTCTAACCTGAAATACAGACACATTTAAAAATCGACTTTCCAAAAATGCAACATGAGTCTGAGCATTTTTCCTTTTTCTTTCTTTGAAAAATTGAGGCCAGGTGTGGTGGCTCATGCCTATAATCCCAGCACTTTGGGAGGCGAAGCAGGATGGATCACAAGGTCAGGAGATCAAGACAATCCTGGCCAATATGGTGAAACCCCATCTCTACTAAAACAAAAAAAAATTAGCCAGGCGTGGTGGGACATGCCTGTAGTACCAGCTACTCGGGAGGCTGAGGCAGGGGAATCGCTTGAACCTGGAGGTGGAGGTTGCAGTGAGCCGAGATCGCACCACTGCACTCCAGTCTGGTGACAGAGCAAGACTCCGCCTCAAAAAAAAGAAAAATTGAAGTGGACTATCACATCCATATGGAGGACCTATAGAAATAACCAGAGACCCAGTAGTGCCTCCTTCTTTCTGGGTTCTGGGCCCATTGTCTGTCTCAGGTTAGGACACAAGGATTCTGCCTTGGGAATGTGCAGTCATCCCCCAGATATCACAAGTGCAGCTCCTAAGCACAGCCAGGTTCCCCTTAATAACCTTTTATGGTGCTATCATCCATTAACTTACCTAAACCCTGTTCTCTGAGCTTGGCCAATCTTCCCATTTGCAAAGGATGCCTTTTTGCCACAGAAGTCGCTTTAAAATCACCATCTCACCACATAAGATGTTTTCTTCATTCCTCAACTTGTCTGGTCTTTGGACTTCCAATAAACTGTTTTTAAACAACCTCAGGCTTTGGATGGCTTACTTGTTTTTCAATGATTTCCCATAAATTTTTTTTCTAATTAGTCTTTAATTTGATGAGACTTATGAAACGCCTCTTCTGGAGTCTTGAGGCCCTCTATTTTGCCCCAGCCCTCTCAGGCTGACTGATGGGGCTTTCTGGACTTTGCATTCCTTTGCTGTGGGTGCCTGTCTCTGGTTTCTGCTCCCAGGGGGCCCTATCACTGCCAGATTCATGTATTTCAGGTCAGCACGCCAAGCTGGTGTCCTTTACTCCAGGGCCCAGTCAGGGCCATGAACAGTGACCACTTCAAAGCTGTCCTTGGTGAGCTTTCATGTTTCTTGGGGCACAGTTGACACGATTGTCCCTGGGATGATCAAGGAAAAAAAAAAGAGAAAGTAGGCATTATAAAGCACTTCATTTCAGGGAGGAAGGAAAGCAGGCTTTGGGTGGGAACGTGGGGTAAAAGTGGTCAGAAAAGGCTTCCTAGAGATGTTGAGGCTAGAATTCTCTGGCTTCAGCACCCAGCCCATCAGACCCACAGCTTTCTTTTATTACCAGGTTTGTCACACCCCATTTACTATCTCAGAATGGAAAGCAGAGATAACATAAGAAACCTATCCACGGAATTTTTTTAAAAATCAATATATTGACCCAGCTGTAAGATAAAGGAGAAATCAAAGGAAAGTAAGTTATAATTAAATATATATTTCAATATGTAAATGCTCAGGAATAATTTAAAAACGTAGAATGCTTGCACCTAAAGACAAAACCACATAGTGGAACTGCTGTCACTGCCGCCTGCCACAGGGCAGTGTCCTGTTGACTTAAGGGCCACAGCATGGCTGCATGAATGGTGGTTTCTGAAATGGTGCACAATGCTTGGTAAGGATCTGTGCAGAACAGAGGACAATTTCCTTCTCAATTGCCACAAGAGTTTCAGTCCTAGAAAATCCAGTGTGCATTAGAGCCATGCAAAAATACTCCATGCTTATATGTAAAACAGTAAGATTTAGAGCTCTGGTCACTGTAAACAGGTTTTTCCACTGGGATGACTGTCAAACCTAGGACCTCTCTGATGGTTGTATAGATTGTGCATTGCACAGCCATTTACTGCATCACGGAAGTGGAGTACACAGCCATTTACTGCATCACGGAAGTGGAGTAGTGGGTGGGCACTTCAAAAGTTGTATGGAATGTGGGAGAATTATTCACTGGGCGAAACTGTCCTACACATTTGCAGGATCCAGACAGCACCCCTGGCTCATGGACACACATCACACACATATACACTAAATGCCAGCACTTCCACGTGGAGAAACAGAGACAGAAGGGTTAAGTAACTGGCCACTTCCCGGCCATGGCTTTGAGCAAAAGAAGTGGGGAGATCTCTAGTCTCTGAGAAGAATGCACCAGGACCCTACAGAGAATCATAGCAACCCACAAGAGGACATTTCCCAAGGCCTGGCCACAGGGCTGCTCCAACCAAGTCATCTGATGACATGAAAGACCCACAATACAGCCCCAAAGGGTCTGCTCAGCGCCATCCTGGGCCTGTCTCCTGGGCTGGGGGCTGTGACTAGGTCTAGCTGCGGAGTCAAGTTGGACTGGAGCCTCCTCTACTGAGCTGCTGGGCTTCCGTAGCTGAATGAGGCAGGCCTGGCGAAGCAATTCCTTAACAGGGAAGGGAGGAGTGTGTGTGTGTGTGGTGTATGTATGCACGTACACACACATCCATGCCCACCCATGACTGCTGCCACCTCCGCTGCTGTCTGACAGGAGGGCAGACATTTAAACCTCTTTTTGTAGTTTTCACATCCAGGGGTGGGGACTTGGCCAAGGCTGGGGTGGGGGTAGAAGTAGATGGGGGATTGAAGAGGGGGAACTCTGAGATTTCATTCCGGCAGTTTTGAACAGAGAGCCTCGATTCCCAGCTGAAGCTGAGCCGTGGTTCCCCCACCCTTGCACAGGGCCTGACTCTAATGTCTTCTGATGGGACAAATTGGTGAGCACAACTATTAGCTGAGTGACATCAAAAGGCATTAATCTCTGGTTCCTGAGCAAGACCAGCACCACATTAGTGCCTCACACCCAGTCATTATTAAGACTTTAGCCCAAGGGTGTAATAAATGTTTTATGGCATGCAAACCAAGGTAATGGAATGCAAATCCCATAATATAGCCATACATTTATTTTCTAATGGAGCAAATGATGATGTATTTTATTTTAGAAGAGCTGCCCGATAGGGTCTGCTTGGGAAATTCGAAGTTAGACACCCAAAGGGTGAGTGGGTGGCCCTGCTCTGGTGGGGGCCAGGGGTGAGCAAGGGTGGCAGTCACGGTGGGACTTCCCAGAAACGGTCAAGCCTTCATACACACAAACCTTTTGGACAAGCCCATCAGTCTTGCTCTAGGTCCCCCAAGTACCGCCCCCCCTTTTGGGGTATATATCGACCATTCTGAGGCTTAATTACATCCCCTTTGCAGAGTGCCCCCCTCCCAGGATCCCCCACCCCTAACCAGAGCTGCATACCAATAAGCTACTCAGCCAATATGAATTGGCTTTCCAAAAATATGGCCGCATTAAGGTGCAAAATGTTAATGGATGGAAGGGCGCAGGGCTATTTCTCCAGTGAAGTTAGGGCTTTGCTTTGGTGCTGTTTTTATTAAGAGGCCAGCACTGTTCAGTTGCAACCCTGGGGCTGGTAGGGAGGCTGGGCTAACTGGCTGGGGCCACTGCAGCCTTGGGAAGGGCTTTGGTCCACCCAGTGCCCCAGGTCTTTCTGGCTGCTGCTGCTCCAGAAAGAACTTTCTGATTGTTCCAGTCCAAAAAGTGTATGGGCTCCCTTCTAAAGTCAGAGGGCCTCTTCATTCCCAGGAACCCCTTTAGTGCCCTTTCTTTTGTCCTTCCCAGGCCCAGGCACACAGTACCCACCTGGGCAGCTATCAGGCTCATGGGCCTTATACGGATGTCCAGGGACCTACTCTGTACCTAGATGTATGGGGGCATCAGGAAGTCTAAGATCTGTCCCTGCCTTCAAGGTTCTCATTATGTAACTAGGGAAAAAGACACATATCTGAAAAGCAATTAACATGTAAATGATTTAATGGTCACCTGAGTGACCATTGAGGAGAACAGGTTTCCTGAGTGGTATATTTGAGGAGTACAGGTTTTCTTCAAGGATTTTTTTTTTAAGGCATCCATCGAGAAAAAAGAAATGAACACTATCAGAGAGGAATCCTAATGGAGATACTGTTGTGGGCGAGAGTAACTGAAGACCCCTTAAGATAAAAAATGCAGGACTTGGCTCTTCCCCCAGAGGGCTCATACTAGGTCTTCAATTCACATTGGTTTTTGAATGGCTTGAAAACAACGATATCAGTTCTCAAAAGGCTGAGACTGGATCTAGAATTGGCACTTCAGTGGTTGGCAGTACTTTTGATCTTCTAATATGCTCTCTTGTTTTCTAGAACAATATTGACAACAATAATTCATTGAAAATTTATATCAGACCCTGTGCTAAGCTTTTATTATTTTACTGAATTTTAAAACAATACTAAGAAGAAAGTACCTTTATGGTTCTATTGAGAGATGATAGAGGAAACTAAGTCTCAGAATGAGTCTTACCCAATTTAGGAAGAGCTGGGACTATAACCAGACCTCCCTGCCTGCAGAGCCCATCCTATACTGTCTCTCTCCAAATCACAGTAAGGGGTCAGAGGAGTAAAGTGTATTCAAGGACACAGAGAGAACCTCTGGCTTCAGGCCCCTGCTGTCTCCTGCACCACAGTGAGCAGCTCTTGGTTTTGTGTGTGTATTATCCCACGAGAGGTCTCCCCACACCCAGTGGCCTGTCTCCTTACCTTCAACTAGTCTGAGCCCAGGAAGACTATCTTCTCACTCTAAAGTAGGTCAAATCATGGATGAACACAACTAAGATCTTGAGAACAGTGAATCCAGTGTCCCAAATAAATTCTGAGCCTAACTGAAAGATTCTCCATGGATTTGATTTCTCTGTGCTTGGATGCTGTAGGTTGATTGCCCTTGAAGGATAGTTAGGCTGGGATGAGTTACATTGCTTGGTTCTTCTCTGGTTTGTCCTGGTAAAGCCTCAGAACAAGCCTCTATGGAACATTATCTTCCAAGGTCTAGAGAATGGGCCAAGCCTACCTGTGGGGGAAGAAAGACAATAGCGATTAACTCTGAATTCTTCAGGCTGGGTTCAGGGACAGACAGGGGTGGACCTCCAGTAACCTAACCAGGGCCAGGAATAGGGAAAAGAGAGAGACACCTAGGGTACAAAATTTAAGAAGGCACTCACTTTCAGAGTCACACAAGTGCAAACCTTAAAAACAAGGGACCTCCAAATGATGCACTGTCGACCCCCGACCCTGAACTTCACTAACTCTATCACAAGCAGGAAAGTGAAAAATAACAACAACAACAACAGAAAAAAACATGTTTCCTTAGCCCACCCTTGAGTTGAGGAGTGAAAGTTCAGGTTAAGAAACCTTCGGCAGGGGCGGATCCAGCTACCCAACATCTTTAACCATCTTTTCCTTTTCATTTCTCAGCTCTGCTTTCCTTCATATTCTGCTTGGGCACAGACTAGTTGAAGGGAGACAGAGAGTTTCTTGGGCCTGGGTAATAAACACACCTAAAAACCAAGAGCTTCTCATTGTGGGGTAGGAGACAGTAGGGGCCTGAAGTTAGAGGCTGTCCCTCGGGGGCAAATGAAGTGATGGGTTTCATTCTCAGGTTCTTGAAGCCTCTCCCGAGTGAGGGCAGGATGGTTGCTAGCAGCTCCAGGCTTACTTCTGGCCAGTTCCAGTGGAAGAAGAGAGCTCGTCCTTCCCAGGAGCTGCATCAATAGCTTTCACTGGCCCAGCCCAAGTCTCATGCCCATGGCTGAACTGATCACTGTGGCTGGGGGCTAACCTGCCCTGAATGGCCAGCTCTACTCTTGGGCTGACTCCTGGGGACCCCAGACATTGAACCCCACTTGGAACCACATAGATTTAATGAGAGATGTGGGTTCTCCAAAGGAGAATCTGGGTGCTCTTGGAGGAGGGATGGATGCTGAACAGACAAACTCAAGAGCTGGAGATGCTTCTAAAACTCTGGCTGCCCCAGGCCTTCTCTGGAACCCTACAGCACTGCTGCCCAAATCTGTGTTATTTGTGAGCATCCTCTGTAGGCTTTCCTAAGGCATGAAATGCTTGAAATGCTTCTTGCTCATCTTTAGCCACCTAACGCTCTTCCCTAAGGCTCTGGCCAATGACTTGTGCATTATACTCACTCAGGAAGAATCTGCTGACATTATGAAAGAATGAATGAGGAACTGTGCTAGGGCTGGGCCCAAAACTTTTATTAACTGCAAGGTTAAAAGCTATCGAGGGTCAGGGCACCACAAAGGGGCAGAAGGAGTGAGTCAATTAACACCTGCCTTTTTATTTCCAAATCGAATTGTTGCATGAGGTTTGGGGATGATGTAACCACTCAGCAGTGTTGGGGCAGGATTTATGAGCTAGGGTATGTGGAGCAATGGTCTGAGCAGGCAGCTGGTGAGAGGCACTTACCCTGACTGCCCTCACTTGGAATCCTCCCGAAAATAATAGCTATACAGCATGAAGACATCTTGGCAGAAGGACTGCTGCACCCAGGGTGGACTGGAGTTGAATTACTTTTTCCTGGGCTGGTGTGGAAGGGTGTCCAGTTCAGGCATGGCTTCGTGTTGGGAGGGGAGGGAAGAAGGGGCAGGCAGGATAGCACATTAACACAGCCTTAGGGCCCGGGAATTAGGACATGAGCCATTGGACATGAATCCTAGGTTGGTCTGCATTTGAGTAGGGAGTGGCATTAGCCAACACAGGGAGTCCATTTGTTAATGTCCATTCATTGTCTCCTACCTGAGAGGAGCAGGGTTAACCTCTGCTGGAAGTTTCTGGGAATGTGGCTGGCACAGTAAAAACTCACTCACCACTCCATGGCCTGCTGTAGGGCTCAGGAGGGAGGGAGCAAGGCAGGCAGGCAGGCCTCTCCTCCTGCATTCCCACCAGTGCTTGGGTCCAAACGATGAATTTTCGACTGGGTCATTAAATGCTGATTAAAGTACTGGAGAAAAGAACAGAAGAAAAAACCAACATCAAGTGTTGTATGTACATACACACTCTCACCCCAGGCCCCCCCTTTCCCTTTCTCAAGCTGCCTCGAAGTTCGTTCCAACCCTCCATTGGAAATGCTATAAAAGGCCAGGTTAATTAAGTCCTATATATTACCAGCACAAACACTTCCAACTTTATTCCGGCGGCTCAGTGAGTGAGGAGGAAGCCGGACAAGGTCCAGGCAGCTCAGGGTAATAAAACAAAAGACTCAATTACCTTGTACATTTGCAGTTTTTATAAAATCATTTAAAGTTCTGCCAATGAAAAGCACAGTGGAGAGGGACTGGAATGCTGACATCCAGCAGAAGCTTAGGGAACCAGGGTTCCCTAACAGTTGCCACAGATAACGAAGTCATCCTGGCCAATCTCCCTGTTCCCTGGGCAGGAAAGTTCTCTCCATAGAGCAGCCCAAGGGAGAAAAGGAAAGGGACTCCCTAATAGTGCACTGAGCACCCACTGGGTCTGGAGTGCTGTGCTAGTGCCTTATATAACTCACTAGGGTAGATGTTATCCCCATTTCCAGATGAGAAGACTCAGGCTGCAAAATGAGTCTTTGGTGTCTAACCAAGAGAGACCCAACACCCAGAGTCTGTGTGCCTCGCCTGCTGTATTCCTATTCTCACCCCTCCCTTTAAGCTCTTAGGCCTGCTAGCTGCATATCAGGACCCAATGTTAAGAGGTCAGGCTCTGGGCTATGGGCCTGGATTCAAATCCCAATTCTACCACGTCTTATCTGTGTGCTCTTGGGCAATTACTTAATGACTCTGGGCCTTAGAGAAATTACTTTCCTCATTCGTTCCACTTAATCTGCTAACAATTGTGGTGAAAGGTACTAATATCATTTTTATAATGTTGTATAAAATGCTCGGAGCCCAGAATATGATATATATTGGTTATTATTGTGATTATTTATTTTCTTTCTTTTTGAGACAGGGTCTTGCTCTGTTGCCCAGGCTGGAATGCAGTGATGCCAACTTGGCTCACTGCAGCCCCAACCTCCCTGGCTCAAACAATCCTCCCACCTCAACCTCCTAAGTAGCTGGGATGACAGGCGTGCACCACCATGCCCAGCTGATTTTGTTATTTCGGGTTCTTTTTGTAAATATAGAGCCTCACTATGTTTCCTAAGCTAATCTTGAACTCCTGGGCTCAGGCAGTCCTCGAAGCTCTGTCTTCCACAGTGTTGGGATTACAGGTGTGAGCTACAGTGCCTAGCCCTATTGTGATTATTATGCTAGCTATACCTCCACTTGTCTTGACCCACTCAGTACGCTTTCCAGTCTAATAGCCAGTGAACTAGCTGTACAAGCCATGCTCCTGTGCTAAAGAAAGCGTTAGAGGAGCTCCCCAACTTCTTTCTCTATACCACAGTGACTTAATTCACACAGGGATTCCCCCATTTCTAAGTCCTACTGAAGGGCAGGAACCTCTTTCCAATTGAGGAACCCTGTTTTATCCCTTGGGAAAAAAACAAGAGCTATATATAAATAAAAAATAACTTATTGTTTTATTCTTCAATAAACAGAAACTGTTCGACATGCCTACACCTTTGAGAAATGGGAGTATAAACCTTCCATTCAAAAGCAGCCCCTAGAGGGAGAAGCTTTCTCAGGAGGCTGGAGAGAATTGAGCCCAAAGTTCTCTCATCTTGATCAAATCTGGCAGGCCTCAATGGGGGAACCTGAGTGGGGTTGGGGCTGAAAGGCAGTGCAGCTGTGAACCACCAGAGGCATGAGGGGATAGCAGCTGGCACATAGGAGACTCTGATCACTTGTGCTGACTGAATGAATGATGTTCTAGCACCCTGAGTGCCTCCCAGGCCCTCCTGCATGGAGAGCTTCCTCTGAGTTAGGCAGATGAGCCACATGACATTTTCTTAAAAGGTTTACTTAGTATCTCCAGTGCCACCTAGAATCTTGACACCCTTGCTAGAATCTTGACACCCCTGCTCTTGAAATTGGGCAGGACTTGCAAGTGAAATGTAGAAATGTCATGCTGCACAACCAGCAAAGCTAAATCCTAAGAGGTAATGTGGCTTTCACCTGTCACTCTCTCCTGGGAACCTGGCTGCCATACTGTGAGGAAGCCCAAGCTCTCTAGACAGGCCACACACAGATATTCTGGCCCAGAGTCCCAGCTAAGTCCCAGCTGACAGCCAGCCCCACTCACTAGATGCCTGAGTAAGCAAGCCTTCTGATGATGCCAGCCCACAAAAGTTGAGTCACCTTCAGACTTCGAAACTTCCAACTGAGGCCCATATTCTGTGGAGCAGAGACAAAGCTTCCCTGCTGTACCCCATCTGAATTCCATACCCATAGAATCTATAAACATAATAAATGGTTGTTTTACACCACTAAATTTGGGGTAATTTCTAACCTAGCAATACACAACCAGGATAGCCAACTGTACCTTTCAACGCCAGGTTCAGTTCTAGGGACAACTGTATAAGAAGGTCATTGACCAACTGAAGAAATTCCCAAGCATTGTCATCAAGGCAGAGGGGCCTGGAACTCTGGCCTAGATGTTGATGGCTAGTGATGGGAGTGGAGAGTGGGGAGGACTCAGTCATGACACTCCTATCCCTGAGGGAAGAGTGGGCTTGTTCTGGGGCAGCAGGGAAGTATCATCGGAAGAGAACAGGCTTCAGACAGGGATCCTAGTGTCTCTCTTGCAGGATGCTTGTGCAGATTAAATAAGTGGCATGCTTGATGCAAAGACTGAATAAATAATATCATGAAAAGTCTTTCGATTACCATTCCAATCTGCAAATAAATGGGAGGTTTTTATCAAAAGGGTGCTGCAGGATGTCTCCTCTGATTTGAGGGGAAGGAAGATTAAGACCTAACTCTTCTTATCTCAAAGTTTTTTTTGTTTTTTTTTTTTTTTTTT